GAATTGACTCAATGGCAGTGAGTTTGGTTTTTCTGAGTAGTCAGACCCAGGAGTTCCCGCTTCTTGAAGCTAGCTACGCACAGATAATTTTCCAAGATAACCCAATGCTGAAGGCCAAATGGTCTCCACGAAGCTGCTTACTAGACTACTGTTTGACCTGAAGGTGATATCAGGGAACAAGTTCCTTCAAGGTTCAAAAGCATACCTAAGGACAGATGGCCTGAGTAGGCCTCCCCAATTCCATGAACCCAGAAATCTGGATCCCAGGAGAATTAAAACCATTTTGTCACTTGTCAAAACAAAGAAACAAACAACCTGAATTTAAGCAAACCTCTCTATCTAATATGGTTCAGAGAGATACACTATGGAGATGCAATCAGCAAAACCCAAATTCTGGGAATCTACAAGATACCTACTTTCTTTAATAGATACATGCAGTTTCTGGATTGTGAACGAGTTGTGTTCCTGTCTTTAAGTTGAATTTGTACATAAGTTAGAACTGTTAGGTATGATCTATGATTGTATCTGATGTTAGTCAAATGTTTGTGTATAGTGTACCTTTCTATACATAAAAAAAAATTAAAGAAACACTTCAGTGCCTAAGGCATTTGACTGGTAACTAGAAGGTTGGCAGTTCAAACCCAGCAGCTGCTCTGTGAAAGGAAGATAGGGCAATCTACTTCCATAAAGATTTACCACCTCAGAAACCCAACAAGGGTCTCTGTGAGTTGGAATTGATTTGATGGCAGTGAGTCTGGTTTTTTGCTTTGGTCCAGATATAGTAAATATATTTAACATAATAATATGGTAATAATAATAATGTTTTGATGTGAATCTCAAAATAGCTCCTGTTTATTACTGCAAACCACTGTATGTACCTCAAATTTTTAATATAATAGGCTTTACAGGTTTTGGTTCATAACTGTGTAACCCAGGGACTGCCTATAAACAGGTTAAAAAAAAAAGACTCTGAATCTATGGGCCTGAACTGTCCAATATGATAACCACTAGCCCATGTGGATATTTACATTTAAATAGATGAACATTAAATAAGCTCTGGTAGCATAGTGCCTAAGGCACTGGACTGCTAACCAGAAGGCTGGTGGTTCAGACCCACCAGCCACTCATCGGAAGGAAGATGGGGCAATCTACTTCCGTAGTGATACTAGTAGCTTTGGAAACCCAAGGAGGGGTTGGTATGAGTCGGGTCTGACTCTACGGCATATTAAGGACAACAACAAATAAAATTTAAAATGCACTTTCTCAGTCATATTGATCATATTTCTTAAGCATTAAAATAAACAAAAACCTTGTTATGGAAAGTTTCACACATTTCAGGTGCAATATCAGAAAGCTAGTGCCTCAGGGAGACAGCTTGGGGGCAGGGGTGCATGGAGGGATGGACACAGGGAAGAGGTAACTATAGGGAGGAAGTAGGGGGGGAGCTGTTGCATTGGGATAAATTGCAGTCAGTGTCACCAAAGTATATGTGAACTGCTGTACGGAAAGTGAATTTGCTCTGTAAATTTTCACCCAAATCATAATAAAAAAAAGAGAGAGAGAGATTGAGAAAGCAAGCTAGTGCCTAAGGCATTTGACTGCTAACCAGAAGGCTGGTGGTTCAAATCCACCAGCTACTCCTCAGAAGGAAGATCGAGCAATCTACTTCCATAGTGATACTGCCTCGGAAACCAAGGAGGGGTCACTATGAGTCGGATCTGACTCCACGGCAGTGAGTTTGTATTTTTTAGATATGGATGAAGAGGCATAAAGGCCACTTGTACTGTAGAGATCGTAATTAGATCCTGGTTCAAGGAAATAAACCTAAAAATACTGAAAAAAAAAGGGAAATGTAAACTGAGTGGGTATTTGATGATATTAAACCAAACTAAACCTATTGCCATTGAGTGGATTCTGATTCATAGCTACCTGCTATCAACAGACACCAACTGACACCAACTGTAAAAACAGCAAGGAGGCCACATGTTCTGACCTCCTCTAATTTCACAAGAGAAAGACAGCAGTAACCCAAGGCCTATTACTGCAAGGCCAAACATGCTGCCTCCCTCCAGCCCTTTCACCAACCGTTCCTCCCAAAGCACCCACCACCTCTCTCCTGGGTTCAATAATTCGCTGCAGTGGCCACACACAACTCACAGATTACAGGGTTTAT